TTCACTTTATCAAGTAAAGTAGAGCTTAATTTCTTTGTTGGATTTTTGGGGGGTTTGCTTTCTTTTGGTGATTTTTTTTAAGGTTCTGGTTTTATTATGTTGATGTTGTTGCTGGAATATTTTTATTGTTTATAATTTTTATTTTTTTTGCTGGGTGTTGTTTATTTATTTTTTTGAGGGGTGTGGTGGTGGTGGATGGTTGTTCTTAGGTTTCTTTGTTGGTTTTTGTTGGAGTTTTTGTGTGTGTTGTGTGTGTGTGTGCATGGGAAGGGGGGGAGGGAGGGTGCTATTGTTGACATTTATTTGTTGTTTTTGCTCGGCTTGATTTTTTCTTTGCATCTGTTTTGTCTCGGGGTTTTTTTGTGAAATTTTATTTTTTTATCTTTGTTTTTCTTTATGGTTTTAATGTTGTGTGTATCACCCTAAATCGTTTTAATGTGAATGCTCTGGCACATTTTCCCCGCACAGTGCTATTTTGCTCTTACTCTTATTTCCGAACTGTTTGACTTTTTATCCCACCTAGGGCTATTATTAAATCTTTCCCGTGAGCGCAAATAAAGTATAGCAGTTAGCTCCTGTGTTTCGTAGAACTTCTGTTTAAGTTTAATTACTTACTACCGTTTTCGTAATGGAATTCAGTGTTTTTCGTGTGATGAAGTCAAAACCAGAAAATGAAGACAGAGTTATTAAGGCTTTGCTTATTTGACTTTAAAAGTTCAACAACAAGCAATAGTTAAGGGCAAGAGCAGCTTACGCAAGGGAAAAAATCCAGTGAGTCTAAATGGTGTTATGATTCCACATGCAAATGTCCGTACACCAGAGTGAGGCGCTTATCCATCGTCCTCTAAAGAATTGAGTTTTATTTCTGTGTGAAGATAATTTTGATTGAGTACCCCGGTCTTTCTGCTGGGACCAAAAACCTCTCTGGGCCCGGTTGGCCCTGATAGACAGCCATCTATTATTAAAAGCATGTCAATGGATTGTGGAAAAACCTGCCAAGAAAACAAGTCACATACTATTGTTTTATAGGTTTGCACAATTGTGATTCAGCGTGGTGGAATCAGGCTCTCGTCAATTTTGGGGCATGTAGAGTTATTGGTATCATCTTAAAGCTTGTTCACTTGTCTTTATTTGGATGAAAAATATATCCATTTATCTTGAATGCAAGTCGAGATATTTGCGAATGAAGGACGTGTGGTTAACTGTTTTCAGAGGTAAAATTAGGGAGAAAATGGGCGCCAAAGATTAGTTATTTCCTTAGCTTAAAAGTCCGTGGTAATAGAAAATTTACATTTCTTGTGCCTTTAATCAACGTTTATTCAGATAATCTACACAGAAAGTAGCTCTTTAATGGGCATGAAAGGTGTTAAGCCAAAAAACAAAAGTTTAATAAAAATTCACAAACCTGCGGAAAAATACAAGTTTCTTCACTTTGATTATTTTGACGAGAGCCTGATTCCACCACGCTGCCTCACAATTGTACTTTTTTGCAAGACGACCATGGCTACTATAAATAAATAGGACATCATTTTGGAAAACCCCCCCGCAAATGTGTTTTATTTTATATCATACACGGAGTTGCCTTTGCATTGTACTTTTGGGGAAATAAATGGTTTTGATTCACATCGGCACTATTAAAAGATCAATATCCTACTTGTAAAATATCGGCTGTTTTGACAGGCTCTGGACACATTTTTTCGTTCACTACAAGTGACTTAATATTTGGTTTGTTTTGACTGCAAAGTTTAACATCGAAGTCATCTCTATTTTAAAAACACTGTAGAAAAGGAATTTGTGGAAATCGGGAAAAAGAACTGCTCTGTGCCACTGAGCGAGAGACAAAAAGGAAGAAAAGAAAACCCAACCCAACAACAACATAAAAACAAGCACGTGATTCGGCCTTTCGTATTCAATAGTTTAAGTTCCTATGTGGCTTCGAGAAAAGCGAGTAGAGATGATGTTCCTGTGGTAGATAGAATGCATGGTTCTTTAATAATGTAGTCTGGTTTTACGCCCCATTTAAGACATTAAGGAGGCAGAATTCCTACCCTGCCTTTCAGGCTAACTCAGGCGGAGACGGATACAAAGTCTGGGCAAAAAGACCGAGATTCTCCCTAAAAATTTCTCTCAACTCGGACATCGAAATTATGTCTCGTGCGTGAGACAGCGAAGCGCCTATCCACTACACCACAGACGCCGTTTTTGTTTGTTTGTTTGTTTGTTTGTTTGTTTGTTTGTTTGTTTGTTTGTTTGTTTGTTTGTTTGTTTGTTTGTTTGTTTGTTTGTTTGTTTGTTGTGGTTTTTACCAATCTGGTGGTAAATTATTTCTTCCCAGAAGGAATGACATGTATTTTCTGTCTGCCTACTTCCCAGGTCGTAAGCCGATGCTGGACGGAAACCGGAACTCCCAGGACGAGCAAATCATGTCAAGACGGAAAGCTGCGCGCATGCTCATCGCTATCGTCATTGTGTTTGGGATCTGCTACTTGCCAGTTCACATCATGAATCTTCTACGGTAAGATTACGTCTCTTTACACATCGGGGTGGAAGGACAGCACTATTATGAGATATAGAGTATCATCTATGGGCAGATTCCCCAAGTTGTATATTATAATAGAGGGTCACAATCGTCCCAGACGACCACATTAATTCTTAAGGAGGAAAGTAGTTGTCTTAGACAGGTGGAGTTCCTTCTTAGACAGTGCGTTTGGTTGATTGTTGGTTACGGGTGTTTTATGCCCCCACCAGGACAGTTTAGTTCATTTAGAAGGCAAACTTTCAACCCTGCCTGTCGGGACCAACCGGAGCTGAGAGGAATACAACATCCCAGAAGAAACGACAAGACATAATAATAATATTATCAAAATTTCTCCCTACTGGGGAATTTAATCGAACTTCTAAATCGCAGACACCAGTGACAATGGTTTTTTTGGTTAACATAATAAAGCAAAAGATGAGACGCAGGGAGTGGTTGATTGTACAGATGACTGAATTGGACAGATGACCATAGAGCGTGTTCAAATGAATTCTTATTGTCTGGAGCATCGTATAAACATATTATAATATCAATATATAATGCAAAAAGCATGTCCAAGAAGGCAACCCCTTGAAGAAAAAATCACTTCAGAAACATTAAGCATCAATGGAAAAACAGTTAAAGAATGTTTTCATAACATCACAGTAATTCTATCATTGTGAGCATTTCGAAAAACACTTCAAAGCAACACTGAATTGCTGTCTGCAACCTCTTGTGCTTAACTGTGACGTCATCATCAACAACAACAGCAATAACAACAAGAATAGCAGCAGCAAATAAGAACAACAAAAGTAGAACCATTTAAGAAAACACAAAATAAATAAAGAAAGAAATAAAGAAATAAAGAAATAA